CAGGAAACAGCGCAGCCCTTAGAGACCAGCGGAGGCAGTCGTCGTCTTTATTTTTCACGTTGACGATCGCCTTCTTATTCTTGACCGCGGCTGGGAGAGGAAGGTATGAGCCTCCACGTAAAGGCTGGTAGTGAGCGATGTCAAGCCAGAGTGTTTTGACACGATCCACCATCCACACAGACCCTTCCTGAGTGAACTTTTCCAATCTCTCCAGGATTATTAGGAAGGCTTCATGTAGGGCTTGCGGAGTGTCATGCGCCTGTAGCAGCGTGATCTGCTTTGTCCGGAACACTGGTGCTTGAAGCACTTCGGTACCATTTGCTTCATCCTTCCGAAGCTCAACCTCTACAGCCAACTGGAACTTAACTCCTCGTAGAGCTAATAGCTCCTCGACGAGTTTGCGTTTGATGTAGGGTTGGGCGTTTTTGAGGAAAGCCATCAAATCGCGCGTTCGGAGGGGTGTCCCTTTGGCACCTGCATTTTCCAGGCTCTCAGATGATAGCTGAAGGCCTCTGTTCATTCTCCCATTAAGTTCCGTGGGTGCTGGGGAGGAGCCCTTGCGGGGTGTTGTTGTTGAATTCCAGCCAGAAGCTCATCATCGGTAGGCTCGACGGGCTGCGCTTGCACGGTTTGGGATAGGCCTGCGCTTGCGCGGTTTGGGATAGGCCTGCGCGGTTTGGGGATAGGCGGAGTGACATTTCTTGGCGTGGGCGTTTGAAGAGCCTCAAGAGAGTCGTGCGCTCCGCTGATCACACCTAGTTTATATAATTGTATAAGATCCTTAACAATAACACCCATCTCGACTGCTACAATTTTTAGTGGTATACCCTATGTGAGATAAATCTCTAAATCGAAATTAATTCAAAATGTCGAAATTCATTCGGCGAGTACTCTAGCAAATCTCTTCTTGCTTATTTCTCCGCATAAACGAGCTTATGATACACTCTAACCGCACCGCAGGCTTGACAAAGGATAGTTTCTGCCTGTGTTCCGACCCCACACTTACGACATGGTTGTGGAAGTCACCCGCCTTCTTAACCGCCTCATATGAAGTCCGCAGTATTCACCTATGGAGCTTCGCCCACATGTGGTGAACTTTACGGGTAATAACCACGAAACTTGTTCTTCCCTGCCTCATGATAATGTGTCAAGATATATATTCTATGTGAGAATTTCTCTAAATAATAGACCCCGACGGCGGGCGCGTGCGGGGGGTGGTGCCGTCTTGGCTCCTGCCGTTGTCCAGGGTTTGGCCTTCGCTGTCATTATGTTAGCATACATACGCGAACTAGGGTTGGGCGCTTAGATTTACGTATACTAGGTATCAAGGTGTGAGGTGCGCCAGAACTGGTGCGATTTTTGTCGGGACTCATGTACAGTACTTCGTACTGTGTAGCGAACTAGGGCTGGGGCGCTCAGATTTATGTACGCAGCCTCCCAGACCGGGGTTGCGCCAGAACTGGTAGTTTCTATACTACTGAACACGCATTTCGTACTTTCGTTGTAGCAATCACCACATTGCTCGATACCCAAGCAGTTGACCACAACCATCTAGTTCGCGCTGAATGCATTCCCTTACCTGATCTCGAGAGGCATTATAATTCCTTTTACCTAATCCAAACTCGTTCAATTTACTTTTAAGTGTTCTCATACATTTTTATGCCATGAAACTTCCAAAAACTCTAAAATAGTTCTATTTGCAGTTTTCTCAAAGTAATATCTTATGGCTTTCTCAATATTTGCGACACGGCAGATGTTATTAATGATGCACCAAGCATGTTTTGAAAATGTCGAGTTGCATTTGAGTATTCAATTTGTTTGTGTATTGAATTTGCGTTTGTGTATTTGAATTTGTGTATTTGAATTTGCGTTTGTGTATCAATTTGTGTATTTGAATTTGTGTATTTGAATTTGTGTTTGTGTATTTGAATTGAGTTTGTGTATTTCAATTTGTGTTTGTGTATTTGAATTTGCGTTTGTGTATTTAAATTTGTGTTTGTGTATTTGAATTTGTGTTTGTGTATTTGAACTGTGTATTTGAACTTGCGCCTGTGTATTGAATTTGTGTTTGTATATTTGAATTTGTGCCTGTGTATTTGAACTGTGTTTGTGTATTTGAATTTGCGCCTTGTGTATTTGGAACTTGCGCCTGTGCATCTGAACCCGCGCCTGTGTACTGGAACTTGCGCCTGCATCTTGAACCTGCGTTTGTGCATCTGAACCCGCGCCTGTGCATCTGAACCAGGCCTTGCGCATCTGAACTTGCGCCTGTGCACTGGAAACCGCGTTTGTGCATCTGAACCTGCGGCCTGTGCATCTGAACCTGTGTACTCTGAACTCAGCGCCTGTGCATTTGAACCTGCGCCTGTGCATCTGAACTCAAGGCCCTATCTGAACCTGCGCCTGTGCACTGAACCTGTGCATCTGAACCCGCCTGCGCATTCAACCTGCGCACCTGAACCCTGGCATCTGAACCTGTGCGCCTGTGCATCTGAACCTGAGTTTGTGCATTTCAACCTGTGCCTGTGCATCTGAACCCGCGCCTGTGCATTTAAACCCGTGCCTGTGCACGAACCTGTGCCTGTGCATTGAACCTGTGCCTGCGCATTGAATTTGCGCCTGTGCATTTGAACCTGTGTTTGCATTATCTGAACCTTGTGCCTGTGCATCTGAACCTGTGCCTGTGTATCTGAACTTGCGCCTGCATCTGAACTTGCGCCTGTGCATCTGAATTTGCGCCTTGTGCATTTGAACTTGCGCCTGTGCATTTGAACCTGTGCCTGTGCATCTGAATATGCCTGTGTATTTGAATTTGTGCTTTGCGTATTTGAATTTGCCCGTGCATTGGAAATTGCGTTTGTGTATCTGAATTTGCGTTTGTGCATTTGAATTTGTGTTTGTGTATTTGAATTTGCGTTTGTGCATTTGAATTTGCCTGTGTGTTTGAATTTGTGTTTGTGTATTGCACTCTGGGCCACCGTAGTTAACTAATCAAAAGCCTGACGACACAACATGTTCTAGATATTAAAATAGGGCTAAGTGCAAAACATCGCAGCCTCGAATAGCTAAGATATCATATTCAGAGATCAATTAGTTCATACAAACGAACCGATCTGTTCACGAGTTTACTTCAATACGAAATAAAGAAACGATGATTTAGTTCAAAGTATTAGTTTGCTTTAAATGTTTTTGCGACGCTTAGGTACGCAAAAGCCGCAACCAAATGTTATTCCTTGAATTTAGCAATGATATCACATTCCTTAGTTGACGCGTATAAGAGTGTTTATAATTTATAAATGGAGAAGTAAGAACATGAAGAGTGAAAATAATATTCGACAAAAATATAACACGATGATATTGCCTCGAACAAATTTCAGCACGATTGATCTATTTCATGCAAATAGAAAACGTAAAGTATTACCTTACATTGAAAAATCAATGATATCAGCAAAACTAGCGACAACAATGACATCAGGTTTGAAGAAACATGCTTATGCTTCAGGTTTTACGCTTGTCATACACAAACACTGAAGAAATGTTTAGTTTTGTTTTGTAATATGCTCTAAACAATAGATGCTAACACTGTATGCTCACTATGCTGAAGGAAGTTGATACTCAATGCCAATGTTGCCAGATGAATTTTAAATAAGTTCACGTCGGCATGTTCAAAAGTTCACTTATTATCCACCAATGTTCAAAAATCGACAAAAATTGCATAATTTGCACCAAATGAATGAAATAAGCTAAATCAAATGTAAATTTATAATAATGCACATTGCACAAAACAACAAAAAAAATAACAATGAAAAACAGTTATTTAGTTCCATTCAGAATCGTCGCTTAAGTCAGAGTCTTGAGCATAAACAAAGTCGGTTGTCATACGACTTAAAGCACTCGTCGAAGCAGAATATTTGACACAGCCTCCTGACTTTCACTCCTTGCTTAACTTTTAGAATACCGAAGACTGACTTTGTGTGCAACCTGTTTCTTCCTTTGAGTTTTGATTGCTTTTACAGAAGAAAAATTCTCTTTACATCAACATTGAAGAATGAATTAAGCTTTGTCTCGAATCTCTAAACCAGTGTGTATTCATTGTAAACAACCTTATCCTTTATAACTGATAAGTTCGTAAAAGTTTTAATTTTAGTAAAAGTTCATGAAATGTTCACAAAAGTCAAAATAAAAATCACAAAGTTCATAAATTCATGAACTTTGTTCACAATCTGGTAACACTGCCCAATGCCCACACGGCCATCGATCCGAATGTTGTAACCAATAGGATTTTCGTTATCATCAAATTATTGGATTGACGTTAGCCAAGGGTTTAGTGTTTGGGTAGAGTTCATTATGCAAAAAGCAACAATTTAATAACAATTGCGAATTATCATGCATTGCATACAATAACTTTATTGGGTTTATAAAATAAAACCAATAAAACGCGAGCGATGATTGGTCTATAGCCGATTTTGGTATTAAAATTCTCTAATTTCTTAGATTGGAGGCGCAAACGTCAGTCAACAACAAAAACAGTCCTTCTCAGGACTATACCAACCTGGACGATCTACATTTTCAAACATGTAACGATACTCACGGGTTCAAACCATTTACTTTATCGTCAGTTTTACCACCTTTCAAGATGGCGGCTTGCCTCACTCATTACTATACAATATCGGCGGAGCCAGATATCTAGTAGACTGATTCTAGGTCATTGACCTCAAACAAATTGAATGTCGGCATCAATCCGGCGTGGTGTGAGTCAACACAACACTTGAAACGGCATTGTGTGAACGAGGTCTTTTTAGTCATGAAAAATAGCTCAATTAATAACTTTGTATGAATAAGGAAAAATTCATATGATAATTTACTTCAATTTTGTTGTAGTCTTTTCATTTCGTTCTAAAAGGCAGTCCAGCCTATCGCATTATGCAAACTGATGGTGTGGAAAAATAGTGCGATTTAACGCCAATAAAATATTTCAAAATGAAAACGACAGTAAGCACTGAATGAATAATAATATAATATAAACAGACGATGCTTGATTTCGCCTAATTATAATTCAAAAAGGGGTAACGCTTGCTGTAAGAACGTAGCAGATACTAGTCTCTTGACATCTCAAAAATCACAGTCTATTTCAAAACCTGACATCCACGATTTGCTACACTTTACTTGAGAGAATTTTTCGTTATTCAATGTTCTGCTATCTTCCTTGGTTAGGCATTCCTTAAAAACACGAACAATATAAGTAGCTAATAAATAACAATGAAATATACATGTAAATATACATGGAAATATACATGTAAATAGCTACTGATAATGATTTCATAATGAACGGATTGTACAAACTTTTGATATCACAACGCAACATGTTTGAAAACAACCTTCATTGGTCGAAAATTATTTAGTTATGGTGTCTGTGTATGGATGGTTTTCAAACCCATCAAAAGAATAAGACTCGTGCATTTTTAGCTCGTTTTTTAAGTTTACTGGTTTTTGCTGGACCAGAACTACATAAACCGGAAAGATCAGCACTCTCCCACAAGAACAAATAAAATCAGCGATTAAAATCAGTAAAAGTTGATGTACTTACGTACCCCTTTCCGTTAAAATCTTGTGGAAATAAATGAATACATTAGATATTAGTATACACTAAACAATGTTATATCTAAACGATTTAACGCGTCAAAATTAAGATTGTCTAACTTCAGCAAAACCCAAGGTTTTCCCGTTTTTCACTATGTTCGGTTTCGGCTTTTCCATGAACCACCCCTAACCTAGTAGTTATATTGTCAAAATTCAAATTGCACAGCACAATACAATATGTGGACCAAAGATACAGGAAGTAGAGTTATAACAACTGGGCTTTATACGTAGCATGAAATCTGCAGTGTTTTACATAAATCACCTGAGGAATTGACAGCACGATAGAATTCTTGATTAACACTTTAGCCAAAAATCATACCTTGATTTGGGAATTGTTGATATCCAAATTGCATCATCGGCATGCCCGGTGGCATACCTTGAGGCGGTCCATATTCTGTGGAGGTCCACCCATACCTTGAGGGGGTCCCATATTTCCCTGAGGAAATCCACCTTGTGGAGGAAAAGCGCCTTGAGGCGGCATACCCATCGGTGGCATACCAAACGGCGGCATCATAGGCATTCGATTGTGGGCCAGGTGGTCCGTTCATCTGTTGTTGCGGTTGCTGTTGGTTGGGAATCCGTGAGGAGCTGCCGACATCAAGGGGCGCGGAGGAGGTGGGCCGGGAGGACCTCCCCTGCTTGTATTGGAAACAAAATACACGTGAGCATACAAATTTCACAAACTGTACAAGTCACAGATGGCGTGGCCAGCTCGAGAATTGAGAGGAGTGCAATATTCCTATATTCATGATCTGCCGTATGAAGTTCCTTGAAATCGGCAAATTACAACATGAATGATCAATAACACTTCAGATGTACAAATGTAGCAAGGTGTGCCAGAAATGGTTTTCGGCCAAAATTATCATAAATACATATTTGAATGGACTATTTAACAGTCTCGATAGAATGTGATAAACGTGTTAGCTCCAGTAGGGAAAACAGCACAGTTTCAATGCAAAACCTGCGTAGTTTCGTTACATAGAAACGATTGAAAAGATAAAAATCTACTCAAAATAACTTAATGTTACTGTCGCATCCTGCTACGAAATAAATTGACACCATTGAAAAACAAGAAAAGTTGCACAATACCTGATCTCCAGGGGGTCCTCTCATCGGCATGGGTGGTGGAGGAGCGGGAGGCAATCCAGGAGGTGGAAGGCCCTGAGGAGGAAACCCAGGAACAGGCATTTGTCCGGGCATCATACCTGGAGGAGGAAGACCTAGATAAGGACATAAAAACGTTTAAACACTGATCCGAAGTGCTACACCAATGCGATCGATTATAATCGAAAGTTGATCAATGCATGTGTTTTCCTTTTTACGTCACATCCGTCGCGGAGATACCTTGCTAAAGGTCATAAAACCCGCAAAGATATAATTTTCGACACATCAGATATATTTCAAATGTTATTAAAATCACTTCATCTACCCAAAGAAGTTATTTCCCCAACCCCGATGTACATATATATCTTTACTTTATAAATCATTTAGAGGAAAACCATCAAACCTGGAGGCGGCATCGTCGGAGGTGGGGGTACAACACCCGCCATCATCATTGTCGGATCAAAGGCATTCACTTGTGTTGGGGGAGCGTCGGCAAACAGTTGATGAGGTTTGTCCGCTTGAGCGAGAGGATTTTGTGAAGCGAGCAAACGTTCTAAAATAAAACAAACACCGTGAACGGCAAATCCAAAATCCATAGCCAGAATACGGTGGCTGATTGACGCAACTCTCTAACATGAACAGGTTAATGCAACAGAAAAAGATTCGCAAGGAGACTTTTAATAGAATATAAATAGTGTTTGAACACGTTCTACATCATCAAATATTGTAGCATTCCATAGACTTTTCACCGAAATTTGATAATTTGTTAACATATACAGTGATTGCAGTAAAATATCATACGCCAGATAAATAACATCCCCCAAATTTGAATCGCAAGATTTCTGCTCATTTCTGCTGAAATGGCAACAATTATACTCTTTCACTACCGTTGCGAGACTTACCTGCAGCAGAGCCGTGTCTTTCTCCTTTTGAATCTTTTTTGAACGCGTAAGATATGCTTATAGGTCGGTTACACAAATGTTGTCCATTCATTGCTTCGATGGCCGCATCAGCTGCATCAAAACTTGCGAAGTTTACAAAAGCGAAGCCCTTCGAGTTACCAGTCTCTGGATCTCTCATTATCTGGAACACAGAAATGTATGGTAAGTGTCACTCCATTTGAACTTGCTTTTGAAACGTAAAAATTATCACAAGCCAAAATCCGGCATAAATTGAAGCATGTATCAAAAAACTGAACCGAACTTCAATGAGCAATCCGTGCATTTAAAATTGTGTTTTTACGCTTGTATTTTGACTCGATCATTTTGATTATTATGAAATGAAAAGCACATCATTAAAAGTTAAAGAGCTCATCTCTTTTGCCGTATGTCAAATGCGATGTAGGATATCAAAGTTCGATTAACTTTTTCTTGATGCCCATGTGAGATGGAGGAGCTATGTAACCTCTCCTGTCCTACGTGCGTTACAAAAGCACCAGATGTGAAATGATCTAAACAAGGCACAAAGAGCTGAAAAGACATTTAGATAAATTTTCACCTGTTATAAACTGCATACAGCAAAAAACTCACCATATTTACTCGTTCGTGCGCCGCCCCAAAATAAGAGCTAATAATTATTTTCAAATGCATGGTTAATGAAAACACCATAAAATTGTTGAAGATGCTGACACAAAACAAACAAAATCTTAAATTAATCAGAAATCTTTTGTTTGTAAAACGTAGTAAAACGCGTCTATTGTTGTTAAATATTCTTGATAAGAGCGCCGCTCCCGAACGAGGGCCGCATCCTATAGTTCAAAAATTTGAAGAGCGCCATGGCACTCAAACGAGTAAATACGGTATACGTATGCAAGTACAAAGATGCCCCAACCTTGCTTGTTGCTACTGTAATACAAAAAATTAACAAAATGAAGACTGGATATCATCTTCCAGATGATTAAGACTTGTCATCAATGTACCTTAGGTGTTTGCAATATCACCCAAAAGCGCTGAAAGTATCGTAGAGCAGTTTCTCATCAATTTCGGGATCCAAGTTGCCAATAAATATATTTGCACCCACATCCAAGTTTTTATTGTGCGAAGACGCCTATACCATCAAAATAAATCGCAATTGTACTTCATTTATAAATTGTAACAATCAAACAATGTCAGCTTTTACTGTTGCAGGCAGTGATACTACGGGTGCACGCAAGATTATTTTTTTAATATGCCTTCTGCACATTATCATAACATAGTTCATCAAAACTATAGTTTTTTACTTTACAAATGAAGTATATAGTCTTAAAAGTATAATTGGGAGCAGTCCTAAAAGTATAATTGCTCCCCCCCCTGCTGGCGCCAATGGCTTGTAACATTAAACGAACCAATAAAGTCACAGACTAAATTATTTTTTGCCCTAAACGCCTATGAACAGCAATGAATATTTTCACCACCAGTCAATTTTTACAATTTCAGGTGCAAGTAAAAACAAATTAACCTAAGCAGAGCAGGAAAACACTTTTTGACATATAGCGTGTTTAAAAAAACTTAAAAGAGTGCTAGAGTACATTCATGAAGCTAAATTGCAAAAATAGACATCAGTGGTTTTCAAATGCACAGCACCAAACTCTGATGACATTGAAAACTTACCAATGGTAAATTTTAAAGGACGTGATGATGATGCAAAATAGAAAGAAGATTTATCTCTATATTACATTACTTACAGCACTGACTATAGACAACGGCTTACTTTAGAAAGTTGGTATACTATCTTAGAACAAATTCCACTGAACAAATCACAACAAGTACAGGCAACTTACAAACAATTTATTCATAACCTCAAACAATTGACCAAGTATGCACATTTCTTTAGACTAATCCATGATGACAATACACAATCGATACCCACACACTCTACACACAATACAATGACATATGAATCAGACAGCAAATATAGCAAACCTGACTTTTACTCTTTACTTGACTCTGAAGATGACTACCACTAAGGTTGTTGAAACGTCAATCAACATCAAAACAAACATTCCTTCTGAGGACTATACTAACCTGGATGATCTACATCTATAAATATGTAAAGATTTATCTCGTTCTACAAGAGCTTTGGAATTTGTTCCCACTTCCCACAATGCTCATACATGGGGAACAAAGTACAGCGAAGGGCAAAGGTTAACTTGCATCTTCCAATCATTAACTAGTCTACCATAATACCATACCTTGTTTACTCTGACAGGTTTTCCATACACTTTGATCATATTCATCACTTTTATTGCATAGTCTGCATCTTCTTCACCAAGAAATTCAACAAAACCATAGCCTTGATGGAGTTGAGTGATGCGGTCTTTTGGCATGTGAACATTTACTGAAATAACATTTGAATTTAACATTTTGGGTTAACAAGTTGTTGAAACCACCTTAAAAATGGAGCCTATGGAATGTTTTGATCAACCATAAGTGGGGCTCAAGATATCAGGCTTTCAATGGCAAAAGCACACCATATTTGTGATGGCATGCAAAAAAATTTTGAATTGTCGATGAAAAAAATTAAAACATCAGAACATATTTTTACTTGACTTTGAGCCATGCTCAAACAGCAATACTATTTTTTAGTTATAACATGTATAACATGGATTGAGATTACAGAATTGGCCATAATAACCACGTATAATATTGAGGAAATCAAAATGAATTTACGATATATTACTAGAGTTAAGCCAAATAACTTCACAATCCAAATTTTAACACAACATAACAATCTACAACTCAAGATTATTCATATTTCAACACAAAATTAGACTTAAACAGGAGCAATTTTCAAGGTTTCCTATGCATTTCACTACATAAGCAACTACAGCATAAAGAGTTGAAATACACTCACCAACAGGTCCTGATTGAAGAAACAGCTCCCAAAGTAAGGTCTCGCTGACTTTATCATCAAGACCTCCAACATAGATAGTTGCATCTATATAAATATAAAAATTGACTCTTTTCAAAAAATGATCATTATCAAAAATTCTATCATTTCTTACGTGAAATTTTATACAGAACCAGCTTTTTACGGTGTATAAACTAAACAGGTTTATGCTGATAATTTATCAGAAACATTTTCCAATATACAAATATACATCACTAAAAGCAAATTGCCTAACTTGAAGATCACTGCAAGTGCTAGTCTCGTTGGCATTCTCTTTCAAACAGAAAATAAATATCTAGAATACTGCAAACAGTGCCATTGAGCTTTCTCTAATAAAACTATATAACAATGACTTTGAAGAAATAAGTTGAATCTAACCTTGATTTCGTTCGGTTACAGGTCCGGCTGCCATGCTTGTCTAATTTTTGAATTATACCAACCTGTGTTTCCGTTCCCATTCTCACATTTCATTGTTTTGGTAAATAAATATCACAATCTTGGAATACTGGGTTGTTGCACGAAGCCTGGATAACGTTATCAAATGGAAAGCAAAACTTTTCAAACTTGTTAAAATATGTTCTTCTTACGACAAATTTTGTAAACTTCGAAACAATATTTTATTTCAGCGATTGCACAGTTCAAATCGTAAACTTTTCTGCAGAAAGAGATTTTATGAAAGTTCAGAAAAGTTTTACCCATTGATAACGCTATCCCGGCTTCATGCAACTGACCCTGATTGATCTCTAGAAGAATTTTCTCTCTAAATCACACTTTTGGATATATTTAGAGGCAACTCAATTGCTAAAGTTTCATTCTTTAGAAATTCATAACCAATGGTGTTTTCGAAAGATATTTTTCAATTTAAAAGTGTGCTCCTATTTTATTTTGACGCCATAGACCCGCCACTGCTCTAATTATTGATCTCTAAGACTTGTCCCTAAACGGATAGAAATTTCTTTCTTACATAAATAATGCAAAAACGAAAGAGAAAAAGTAAGCAGTTTTACGTTTTGAAATTTGCAAATGTTTGAATGATTATCTCAATTGATTTGTTGGGAGCGTAATCTATGAATGAATATTTTTGATTGCTCCGAGAAGAATGCGTTAAAACAGTCATAAAAATGCAAAAAGTTAAGGTAGGGCCATTAACTTTGGATTAACTCGACGGATTAACTCGTGTTGCGGGACTTTATAGCCGGTAGCCCTTTGGTCGGTCAAATTAAGTCCTCACCCACCCAATATTAACCCTTAAATGCCCAAGGAGGGAGAAACTCAATGCAAAAATCTGTTCTTTGGTATTTTTCCTTAAAATAACAAGCAATACCAAGTTCAATTAAAAAATTTAAAAAAAAAACATTTTTTCTTCCTAAAAAACTTTGTGACAGATTTGTCACATTGGGCATTAAGCGCTACTTCGTATAATAAAGAAAACTAGAGTTTAAAACTAAAATAATTATATAGTATTTATTAACAAAAGCATGAATTTTGTGAATATAACAAGAGTTTTAATTAATCAATACTTTAATCTGTCAGTATGTAGAAATTTTTATGATTTTATTTATTTGTGTGGTATTCCATAAAGCAATTTCTGTCTTTATTGAAGCAGAGATAAACATTGCATTTGCAACAGACAACATGAGCCGAAGGCAGAGCAAATTTTACATCTCTGACGATGTCTGTCATCCCAGGAAGGCATATGATCTATTTTATCAAACCGTATCTCTTCATTTGGTTGAGTGGTTGGTCTTTTCGAGATGTCGAGGCATTGGAAGATCGTCTTCTTTTTCTTTCCTTTCCTACCTTAATCAATCCCTCTGCAATTGCTTGGAAGTCATGAAGTTTGATTTGTTTCTTTCCTCTCTGATTTTTTCTGAAAAGAATCTATGAATTGACCATAGCCACTGTAAGGGTATGAAACCAAAGGTAAAGATACCATCGCCTTGATCTTATGGAATATTTGTACAATGAGCAAAGCATGTCCATTAAGTCAATGTCCCCCATGAACTTATTGTACTCATCTACAAGCTTGGGCTTGGGAATTTCCACATATTGCTTCTCCTTCTTTTCCCATCTCTTTGCAACACCTAATGGTTCTGCTCAACAGTAAGTAGATACCAATGTCATTGCCTTTTTGTCCAGCCATCTGACAATAGTAATTCCTTTTGATGAGTCATTTACCTCATCAAAACAGATGTTCCAGTTTTCTCAACACTATAAATGTTAGTTTGCTGACACATGTTTTCAAGCATCTCTTTGTTTACGAACTGTTGAAAAATTGTCAAAGGTGATGGTGGAGGTTCAGGTACAATATACTGATCACCCATAAAAGGCTTTTCAACATGCACATATCTGTCTTACCATCGATAAACACCCCCCTCATTGTCTCAGCAAGAGACTTGACTCTTTGAACCAATGGAATGAAATCATCACCATCTTACTTGTATTTTCTTCATCATTTTCATCTGCACTTGTTACAGAATTACAAAGCAAATCATTGTATCCATCATTATCAATTAGCTGGTATTCATCATCAAATGATTCTTCACTGAAATCAATTTCACTAGTGTTGATATCATCTATTACCTCTCTTTCTTATTCATACTCTAGAAATTGAAAAATTAAAAGTAGTTTTGACTAAACATAACCCAAAATCATTCATAATAAAATTATACTAATAGTATTTCAAAATTCTAGCTTAAGACCTACATATATTGTTCAATTTTTAAATTCTATTAAATATCAATTTTCTTAATGATTTAGTTAACTAAACATTCAAAAATAATAAAGAATTCCATCGGTGTAACAATTGTAATTTCATGTGTCATTAATCAAAATGGCATGCAAATGCCCATTGTGACAAATTTGACACACAACTATTTCCATGTATTTTTTTCGAAAGAAAATATATAATCAAAAAAAGTCTAAACTAATTTCATAAGCTTGTGAGTCAATTAAAACGATTCAATATATAATATCACAGTAACTTACCTTTATACAGTGTATTTCTACAATTTCTTCACACGATTTTCACTTCGCATATTTTAAAATGACTGCCATGTTGAAATATATTTTTCAGCAAATCATGATAGATGATATCAACACTAGTGAAATTGATTTCAGTGAAGAATCATTTGATGGTGAATACCAGCCAATTGCTGATAATGATGGATACAATGATTTGCTTAAGCGCATTTTTAAGGCAAAATATAATGCCTTAAGCGCATTTTAAGGCAATATGGAAGCACTAAATATACGTGTGACAAATTAGTCACACGCAGGGGCGGATTGAAACTACGTCACATTCAGCACGCGACGTAGTTAAATTCTTCTCAGCAGCGGAAAAAGTTAATCAAATTTTAAATGCCCCTAGTTGAAAATAAAAACAATTTGCCGCGTGTGGATCGAAGTCATTGAGCTCTATAAGACCTGAAGGGGAAACGTCAACAAAATTACTATAAATTATCAGCGCGCGGCCGCGGTCAAAAACATGGCGGATTTTGGTTGTCAGTCGGAAAGACGCGGGCTCATAAAATGAAATTTTTCGCCCACCCGGATTTGACAACCACAATAGCGATTATATAAAATATCAATGCCAAACACAAAACTTTTAGAAATTTTATCTTTAAAACATGTTGCAAACTTGTTTGGTAGACGGATGCTGAAGTAATGCCAGAAAGGAAACATTTCATGATACCGGTAAGCAACGTAAGATTGTTTACCATTTAAAGTGTTCAGTGTTTTGTTTTAAGTCAATACTTGAAGTGTGATTGCATATATTTTGTGAATGTTTTTACTCCTAAGTTATAATTTAAGTTATGTTTATCCATTCTTATTTGTTCTTTACTTAATCGCTTGCTGTGACGAGGCAAAGCAACCAGTTCTTATCGAGATATGTGCATATCTTAAAACCCTTGTTTCAACTGAGTTGAAATGGAGGATTTTTTCATGATATTTTTCTGAAAATATGAAGCAAATATTAAGGACAGAGCTGTATTGAAATCAAATGCAGTGCAAGATTAATTAATGAGCTCTTTGGGACATGTCGTACAATAAAAAATACCTGTATTAAACAGGCCTGGACAATTTGACAGATTATGGACAATCATGATGATGGTGTGTAATGGTTTGCTTTATGCTAAAAGTTTTATGAATGCCATCTGGTGTTTCTGTAAATAAATTGTTTGTTACACAGTGTAGTAAACAGGTTAGTACATCAAAATCAAGATAAAACTACTTTGTTCAATAATGTGCCAAATTTTGCTCCTACCTTGAAATATTTGCTCAAGCAAAGCTTATCATGACATGCATGAAACATTAAATACAGTACTGCATCATCTGACAAAGTCCATATGTTTTCAATTCCAGGTGATTAAAAATTCACATAAGATGCATTGGTTGCAATGAAGTTGAATGTGGAAGAAGCAAAAATTGATGACAAAGAACTTTTATGTCTTTGAAGAATTACGATATCATTTAAAAGAATAAGAGTAGCAATCTAGTAAAAGAAGCCACATCGGCCTCAACATGAGACTTTTCCATTATGTATAGTTATTTTGTACAAAATACTATTTTAGATAAACTTGATTTTAAGTCATTTACTGATATTTTTACCAAAAGACAAAAAGAAAAATTCCAAGGCATAATGTAAAATTCAAAATTTGTCAAGTTGTTTGAACCTAGAAAAAATTAGTATAGGTAACTGTAATTTGTAAGGACACAGAGAAAAGTAGTGCAAGAAGGTTAGCATTTTGAGATTAATAAGTTCTTGACATACATTACACAAGGCCATAATATTATAAATAATGTCTGTATAATAACAATTATACAACATGCTAAATATCTTCACCTACATTATAATTATTTAAACAGGTTTGCCTTCATGCAGCAATAAGAAAAGTGTTATGTCAGAGAAACCAATGCACTTTAATTTAAAAATCGTATTTTCAATGGGAAATTAATGTAGTTCTGTTCAATAGTAGATCCATGGTTGTCAATGACAATCCAGTTACTAATATCTTGGCTCAAAACAGAACCAGCAACATGATTATAGAATTTTTGAATTTTGTTCTTTGCTCTCCTAGTTCGAGATATTTTCTTCATAAGTTCTCAGTAGATTTATCAGAATATCATAATACCTTATAAGACACCCAGAATCAATCCTACCAAAAACTCAAAAAAATACATACCTACTTATAATATATTTCCAGTCGACTTAAGTCGTAGGGCTAACTTTTTCTAACTCCTTTGGACATTTTAACTAATATTTACCCATCTATTCAAGAAAGACAGTTGCACGAAGCTGTTAAAAATAGTCAAAAACACAAGTATTGTGCATGGGATGCATTAAAGCTTAACGACACATTGACAGTGTAAAGAATGCCGTTTGATATTTATTTCTAACATAGCTAAAGCATTACTTGACAACATATACGCTATTATATTTGATTTTACCTCATTTAAATGTGTGTGTCTATTTCACAAAAATCTGAAGCATTATTTTCAATATTTTATGCTTACGGTATCGTGGTTGTTTTCGCTGGTTGTCATTGATATAAGCAGTAATAGAGTTCCGATTCGGGAGGGAGCGAATGTTAAAAAATTTTCTCAAAGTGGAAGTTTTGACAACCAAAATCCGCCATTACCGCATAAAGTTTTGACCACGGGGTCCAGCCCCTTGCCCTCCAGTTCTTATAGAGCTCAATGGGTCCAGGCCCCTTTGCCCCTCCAGGTCTTATAGAGCTCAATGATAATTATAGACATGCTTTCAAAATGGCGTATGCTGAACAATTTTATTTTCAGTCAACTTGGAGCACACTTAATCATTTTATGGCAAGAATAGGTAAATGTTGGCTGAACTGTATAAAATAAGGCGTTCAAGGATGCAATTCGGAAGCGTAAAAAAAGACTTGAGGCATATGCAAGAGAACTACCTTCACGTAGCAGACTGACATTTGTGGTGAATTCACTGAATTGTTCTGGAAGCTAACAGTTATTGGTTGTTATTCTGGCTATGTGAAACCAATCTATCTGCATGAGTTCTATCATGATTTTAAACAGCAAACGATGCGTTGCGTATGAGTTGTATCGACCAGCTTACTACACAGTCAACACTTCACCAATTTGGAATTTGAAACATTTTGGTGATAAGAATTTTATACCGACGTATCCCTGCGATAAAAAGACTCACAAGAAAAACTGTTTTGTTCAGAGTAAGGTAAAAATATTTTACTCTCTGATTGCCTAAATATTCTTTGAGTATTTAAAACTGGCTCATATAAGACCATACATGTATGTAGTTAATGGGATCTACATTTTAGCTAGCGTGTGCAATATTTTTATAAGTAAGACGATGCACGGTAGTGAGGTAACTTAGTGATTAAATGTACTTGGAAGCCGAGGGAGATTTTGTAGTAAAAGTCACAAGACTTGTAGCACCGAGGGACTTTAGCTAACCTGCCAGGGCTTTCAATTGCATTTGATTGCCAAAATGTTATAGTCAGAGCTTCACACACTGTTTATAAATTTGGATCTGCAGCTATTATTACCTAAGTGAAGATCTATTGATTGTCATGCTTTATTTTATCTCCATGTTTTTTTTTATATTTTCACCATCATAAGTTGAACATTTGAGTTACCTTGCATGAGTCGTTTTTACTTAAAATATGTTCTTTAACAATTTTGGTTCATCATTGTTTTTGTTTTCTTGTAATTGATTTTATTTAGTATTTGTTAATATTGCAACTAAAATATTAACTCGTTTCAGTCTCCGCTTGCTGAAATCAAGATGGCTTCTAACCTTGAACATTTCAAACATTACAACTCAATGGTTGAAACCAATGAACTATTTAATCAAGTTACATTTGTTTCATCGTGTGCAATTCCTCTTTATGGATATCAAAGACACAGACAGTTATTCAAGAATGAAATAAAATATAGAATATTTTCATTTGTTGATTTGACATACAGGTTGGTTTGTTTACCTCCCAAAATAGGGAGGAAATTTGTTCACAGCGAACATAAATGCAGTCTTTACAATGTTTTTTAGCTGTCTTGTCATAAATATCGAAAATGTTTAATGATTGATAATATTTTTAATTGTTTAACTAAATGAGTTTGTTTTATGCTTCATTAGAAACTGATGGAAGCTTTGAATAATTTTGGTCAAAAACGGCAGATAAATCCTGGGGATGGGGGATGAAGCTTTCTATGTTTACAGATGTATACCATTGTGAATTTATAATTTCATTGCTATCACAATTTATAGATTAATATAAAAATTTTTGATGCTATGAGATGGTCTCATCAATGTGAAACAATTGAACTGGATTTCCAACTTCCTGAGAGATTCAACCTCACGCTAGGTAAGTTTTGCCAGTAAGCTTTTCGTTGAATAACCTCACTACGGTCTTGATACTTAATTTATTTCACCAACAGTGACATGATTATTTGTTTCTATAGAAACCTATTGTTATATATTTATATGCTTATATTTAGTATATACTTATATGCAGCCTGCTACATTGCTGAACACTGAAAGTCCCACCTGCATTCAAACTCGCCCACAAACAAACCCACCCGCATATAAGTATATAGTTACATTTAATATTGCAATCAGATAATTGCAATATAATAGTTAATAGTCCATGCATGTATCCCTGTGCATCCATCCCCCCCATGTAAATATCATTGATAATGGCTCACAAACATATGTAAGCCTGTGTATTATAGTCAGAGGATTACGGCACAGTTTAAGTTTCCATGAAATTGAAGATCTTTACAAATTGTAACAATTTAGTAATTTATCAATATTCTATTACTCTATTGACAGTGGTGAAGGAGATATAAAATTACATCCTGTTATTATTCATCGAGCTATTGTAGGTTCAGTTGAAAAAATGATTGCTATTCTTGCTGAAAGCTTTGGTGGAAAATGGTGAGTGTTTTCTTGGCTCATGCCAGAGCTTAAAGCAAATGAAATGTCCTTAAAATGTTAAATTAAAATGATACAAAGTTTCTTAATTGTTTGGAAATTTTTTATCATTTTTACGTTACTTTATTTTAAAATTTTGACGCACTGTATTTTCTGTTATTTTCTAGGATTTTATGGCTTTCTCCCCATCAAGTTGTAGTAATTCCTGTCAGTAGTAAATATGATGATTATGCCGAACCGGTAAATTTAATTTGGTAAGCCTTAGATCGAACTTGTACAGGCTAATGCAAACTCAGCTATGGACAAATTGTTGCTATTTTATGAATTGGAATTTTTTTGTCCTTTTTTTTTATTGACATTTTGGTCATGTTTAGATTTAAAAGAAGCTCCATGCAGCTGGTTATCGTGTTGATACAGACTTGGTTCACGGATCAACACTAAATAAGAAAGTTCGCAATGCACAACTTTCACAGTACAACTTCATTCTTGGTATGAATAAGTCTTTTTAAATTATTTTTTATTTACTGTACAAATAAATAGAAATTAAAATGGTTTGGAACCACTGTTGGTGTTCAGAGTTTACTGACGTTTCCACAACATTAGTCAGGTTCGCCATTTTAAAAAGCAAAATAGATGTTCATTTCGACTTCTACGACTTCTTCTCACGTGTCCTAAACCTTTGATCGCTGCGGTAAACGGTCCAACAGCTGGATTTGGTCTTTCCCTTATCGCACTGTCTGATATAGTCTTTGCTTCAGAAAAGGTAATGTATTGAGTTAGTAAAATTTTTCATCCTAGCTGGTCTGACTTCATCTGTGTTTTCAAGTGTTTAATTTCAGAGTTATATTTAATATGGAAAATAGTGATTGTCTCGAAAGAGTTTTTTGCGCATACCGTCACGTCACTAACATTTAAGTCATTTTTGAGAGTTTTGTGGAAAAAAGAAAGGAATTGATATAATTTTGAAAACAACCAAACTTTCTTTAATATCATATGTCAAACATTTATTGAGTCGTTTTTCATTGGTCAATTTACTTCGCCAATGAATACAATAAACACGTCAATAATACATTCAGACGAAAATCTTCAAAGTGAAAAAATTTATGTGGTAACGGGGCGATATTAAACCTCGACGGGTTCAGTTTCCTTTACCCCCATACTTCCCTCTTTACTCACACCCCTTAATATAATTGAGTACTTTGTTCAACCCCTAGTGACTCCTCAGTACAACATTACGTAATTTTTATTTCAGTTTATATATTCGTCGTGTTTTTAAAGGCAACTTCTCAAACGAAGTTTGTGGAGTGGGGTCATCCTCCAGTTGGATGTTCCTCTCTAACTTTACCTAATTTATTTGGTCATTCACAGGTACACGTGACTTGTTTAATTAAACGGAGGCCTGGGCACTAGGTCATATTTTGAAATGTTATGTATTTGAGTTGTATCCACGCCTATTGATCACTTTATATAAACTTTAAAATGTTTTCTTTTCTTTAACCTGAGAGGATGTGTTATGTTCTGATGTGTTAAAAATTAACTGTGAGATTGAAAAGTAATTAAAACTATAAATAGCTTTATCTAAGTTCCCCAAAATGCTTTACTCCCTATCCCTACCCCCCCCTCGCCTCAAAGAAAGTGTATCGTGAAACATAATTGTTGTTTTTATAAAAGAACCGAGATGCTTTAAAAAAAATTCATTTTGTCTTACGGCGAATTTCCTTTAAATCGGGCAATGTCTGTTATTCTATGCAACACGAAACTCGACTGCGACATGGCAAAGGAAACGCGGAATTATTGCAGAACTTTTATCTTTCAAACATTTTTGGCGAGATTTTCACTAGTTTCTAGACAGGTTTGTCTGTCTATTTTTACGAGGGAGATGGATTGAGCACTATTAGAAAGCAGAAGGAGAGGGAGGGGGTGGGCGAAGCTTAGCAACTATAGGGAGAGGGGACACGGGACCTTTGAAAATGCAATAGATTTCTATTGTTATTCATGGACGTTCACGTCGCAGATGATGAAAACATTTACAGTTTTGAACTTTTAAAAAATCCATGTTAGCAAATAGTAAAGCAGCATACTTAATATTGTAGTGCCTTCGAGAAACAGACGTTGATGGTCAACAGTAATATACAAGAACTTGAGGATAAAAATCACGAGGAATGCGATTTGTTTCAAAAGTACATCAGCAACGATGATATTTTGGATGGCATCGTAAGAAGATGGTGGATGAGCTTACAGGAATAATTTACCATCAAGGTATATTTACGACCAGACTTATGGCGCGTGCAAATATTTATTGTACAAATAGGATATTGTGTCCCCAATGATCCGTTTGTAAACTTTACGCGGAATTTGTAGCGTTGTTGGTGTAAATCATTCGTAACTTGAGTTGAATAACAAAACATATTCGTTCATTTAACCACGATTTTTAAAATCTTTACTTTTGAGGAAAAAAATTGCGTTTTGAATCAAGTTCCAAAACATAGCAAAAAAACTTTTGCTGGAAAATTTCGAACACTCGTTCTGTATCGTTCAAGCCATTGAGACTTCAGTGTTTACTGCTGGCGTAACGGACTTCTTAGTCGCGATAACCTTATTTTCTTGCGCATTTGTTGAAAATTGATGCAGTTGTTTAAAAATAAGTGTCATTAATTAACATGTTGTCACGTGACATCAAGTAGATGTTTGCGCAGATGCTTTTGTACGCTTAACACTTTGGTGGAAATGGTTTTTATCAAACTGAATAACATACACAGAAAGAAAATGCATCGAACATTTCATAAACAAGAATCAACTTAATGTTTCAACTACATTTTGATTTGCGTTGTAAAAAAGTCATCACTGCTTGCGCGCATTCCTCCGAGAGCCATTTTTGAGCAAGCACTTCGCATTCTTTATTATTCACATCGTGAAGTTTCTCCAGCTCAACTGAGCAACATAATTTCTTGGACAATGAGAGCGACTGCAAGAGAAGCAATGTATGGTTAAATGAAACGAAGCAATAACGGTAAAGTCCAGATTTGTGCTACCTTCGGCGGCAACGCAGCCATGTATTTCATTCTGTTGTTAATTTCTTTTTCAATTTCGGCTTGAGGAATAATTTCTGTTACCAAACCGTAGTTACAAGCTTCGACCGCAGTCAGTTTCTTTTCCAACGAGTAACATCTCATTCGCCTCAGTGCAAATTAATAAGAAATGTGTGACAATCATACCTTACCTCTTAACTGCATTAAGATAACAATACCTTGTTAAAAATTGAGTTAACTAAGCAAAAAGAACAGGCCTCAAAATAACGGCCAGGCAACGGACAATGATTTTCAAAAATACCTATGTATCGGTAACATTTTCAGTTTTCCCATAATAATTTATTATTCGGCTTTCCTTTCAATATGTTTTTGCAATATTGAGCGTCAATTTTTTACATACGTAAAATCCATGCTTTCTCTAGTAAGTTTTAGCTGGCTAGGGGCTTGTTGCATTGAAGGTTACGATTCCGTTCTCGTAAAGTGTGTCGTGGTCAGCTTTGGGTAATGAGGATTTCAATATTATAATGAGACCGTGCGTAGTGATGTCGGAAGCGCTTAGTTAAAAATGTTTTTTCATATTATCGACGAAAATTATGTATATTAATGTGACGATACAAAAACTTGGTTAATAAATAAGAAATTTTAGAGTATATCCACTCGACTCATCTTACAAGTGTAGCAAAGTGAAACCGAAAACCACGACAGTAAATCGCGTATAAATAGCAAGTATTTCAACTGTAAAGACAATTTAGACAAAAGATTAGATTGACATTGTTTAGAACAGAAAAATTTAAACTGATTTTGCTCAGAGAATGATCCAAAAATTTTTTGTTCGGTAAAATGCTTAGGCAAGCGGCGCTTGCCTACGCTTGCATGACCGCACGCCACTGCTTCTTGGTAGTCAGTTGATGCGCGAGTTGTAAAATGTAAGGTATTATCATTTGCTGTTGTTGGATTGTTTGTTGTTTGTATTTTTGTTTGTTTGTTTTGTGTTCATTGTCTTTTTAAGTGTTGTCGATTTTAAAAAGCAAAATAGATGGTTAAATGATTTCATGTTGTTTTTTAAACAGTTGTTGGTGAAAAAGATACGGTCTCAGACACGGTCAACGTCAGAACACATGACAACAAAGTACTCGGTGAAAAGTCGGTCATGGCCATGATCGAACGCTTGCGAGATTTAGTCAGCTCACGGAGTCTGACAAGCGAAGATTTTTGAAATAAAACAACATTTTTATGGTAAAGATAAAATGAATTTACTCGCAAAAATAAATTTGAATGTAAATCCCATGATGCGTCACTGGCAGACTGGCGGCAGTGGTCACTGGTACTTTATCAGTGGTACCTGGTACTTTATCAGTGGTCACTGGTACTTTATCAATGGTGGTAATATTGATTTTATCGTGGTGGTAAATTCTTCCATTCGTAATTTATGGCGATAACCATCAGCAACTTTTCAACTTTTTACCATCAAGTTTTCACTCAAACGAGATCGCTTCTCATTCATATTTTGCCTTGTTTCTTAATCTAGTAGGAGGCTGTGTGCGTTGATACAAATCTGTTGAAAAGTGATGAATTATACAATGACCAATCATGTAACTACGCGAAGTTCTTAAATTCATTAATAATGAATATTTTTGAAGATTTGTTGAAAAAAGTGTGGTATGTTTCGCTGCCGTAAAATGGCATATACACCCACAAATGCAACCATCGGACTGGTATATACCACGTGGTATGTTTCGCTGCTGTAAAATGGCATATACAATCACAAATACAACCATCGGACGGTGCAGCTTAAAAAAGAAATTTCAGGGCTTCCATTTACTACATTTTTCAAAGTTCATGCATGAGAACAATATTTCTTCGTGTAGTCATATTTTTAGGAGTTTGCAACATCAAAAGTTCGAAGCAAGGCAATCGATCAACAGGGCTCAGTCACTCAATACTATGCTTAGTACTTTTTTAAATATCTATTGGAGAAGTCTGGCTGGGAGAATGGTACTTAGAATAATTCTAGGCTAATTTTGTCAATCCAAGAACACGTGCAGTACTGGTTTTTATAAATCGGGGTATTATTTTTTGGGTACACTTGCAAAATGTATCAATTCAGGAAGAAATTCAGACGCTCAAATGACTTCTTTTACAATAACGTGGAGAAGAAAGGAAACACACAAAAAGGTGATGCGGTAGGAATTTTTAAAGTGTTCTTTTAATTTTTTCTGGTTGCACAAGTTCATATTAATTTATATTTATTACCACAGTTATATTAACAAAAGTATGTGTACAAATTTATTTATGCCCACAACGTTGTGTAAGGAAAAACGATTATTCTGAGCACATTTTCCAATTTCAAGTCTGGATTCTCTACATCCTTTAATTACAATGTCATATATGTTAATAGAATAGCAGTGTGTCATATGAATCTCAATTTTTTGAACAAGAAAATGAATTTGGGGATTTAGTAAGCTTAAATATATTGTAAAACTATGTAGATATAAAAATACGCTATGTTTATGTTTTTTTCATTTATATGTAGAATGAACAAAGTGAAGATATTGCTGAAAATTATGACAAGCACCAAGAGTTAACCACCAAAACACAGGTTTTTATTGTACATATTGATATTGTTTCTCATGAAAGTCATTGGAAATGGTTATATGTAGGACTGCTTTCACTAGAAAAAACTAAAAAATTTTGAAGTAATTTAAAGAAGGCATGCATTATTTCAACACTTATTAAAAGTCTGTACACATTTTAAATTAAATAATGGTCTTTATTTGTAGGATTCTGAAGATATTTTTACCAAGCAATCTATCTCTATTATTACAGAGGAATCTAAACAACCATGTCAACATAGTCAAGTAGTTCTCACTTATACAGTTATACTTTATACTGTTTACCACTAGTCATGTTTTTAATGTGTTATAAATTGACAATATGCTTGTTGATTGCTTATGCATGAGACACTGTGTAGCAAAACTTTATTAACATCTCGTAGAAATGTGCTCAACAAACATAAAAATATATTACAATAGATATTTTTGAAACAGTGAACATTAATAATTACTGTATACTTGCTCTTTCAGTCATTTGTCACCCACTAGCCACTATACTGGGTTATTGTTACAGTTTGACTTTGTATCAAATATATCACGTCAGCAATCCTTTGTTGTTCATGATTATAATGCAAACAAAAGAACAATTATGGTGATGTCAAATTTTATTTCCATAATTTCAATGTTGGGTATATACCAAACTAAATGATATTACTCAATACTCTTTTTTTGGTGCTATAACCTGCATGTATTTTTTTCTTCAGCACAATTCATTTGTATTTGTTCATCGATATCCCCACCTATTGCTTGATGGCTACGGTTGGATATTGTGCTGGTCATGTGATGCAAATAGAAAGCAATTTGTTGAAGCCCTACCTAATAATATGCAATTAGATCCTCAAAAAGGTATGTAAAATAGATGTTACTGAAATGAAATTATTAAAACAGGCCAAACAACATTTTTATACTTGTCAGATATACCATATCCCAGTTGCATACACATATTAGCAATGGAAAAATATCTGGTTGTGTATGATAGAAAGTTTGGTATTGAAGCCAAAGATTTTATTGAAAAAAGTAAGTGTTGTGTGTTACTCTTTCAGGATATAAGGTGTCTGAACAGCCCCACCAAATTTTGACTTACACTTACATACTGTTTGTTTGAAGACCCTTGTCAAAGATGTGAGAACTTGTTACATATTAATCTGACATTGCATGAAGTGAATGTCTCAAATTTGTATTTGGCTTATTTTTTCAATGTAAAGTTCTTCATGTTGTATGGGAGGAAATGTCTTCATCCTTAAATATCAGTTTATTGTACATTTCAAACCCTTGTGGAGTCATCCTTCTGTGTTTTTACAAGACCCTTGTTCGACATTGTTCTTATTACATGTGGACGTTAACTAGCACAGCTTTACAAGCAAAAATATTGTTAAAACTTGTGAATGATTATTTACACAACATATTTATCTCATCCAATTTCTTTTATGAATGCAGAATCCACATCCATGATGCAGTCTGTTTTCAGTGATCATTCCTACCATGAGATGTGACCTGAAGAAGTATATTTTGTTATGTGAAAATAATTTTTTTGTACAAATACACGTATAGTTTCTCAACCTTCTAATGCCCCACAATTTGTTACCATACATCCTGTGCCTAAGTTCAGGAGCTTCTATAAAGCTATTAGGGTGATAGCCAACAGGGCAAATTGAATTTATTTATGACTATTGAGGTATACACATTCATACTCAAATACATACATAGCCACATACCTACTGTACATACATTAAGTAGTATAAACTAAATGTATGATAAAAATAGTAAAGTCATATTCACCATTTGCTTTACGTGCCTGATATATATATTAAGCACTTTCTAAGGATTTTGTGAAGTCATAATTAATCATAATCATTAATCTGCATACACATACACACACATAAATACACACACATACATACACACACATAATACAACCTTAAGATAAATGATTTTACATATTTTAGGACTTGTTTAGTGCAGTGTGCAGGGAGGTTCGGTGGATTGCTGTAAAACCAGTGAATAGTCCATGGGGGGTTTGTACTTTTGTGTATTCAAAAGTAACGCCGCCCCAGCCCGAGTTAAAATGTTGCAGCTGTTCGTCATATCATTGCATTCATGTGACAACCCTTGCAAAAGCCATGCAAATCGTTGAAGAGGATGAAATGGATTCTCCATTGGCACTTTTTAAGTTTTCTTTTGGAATTAGACCAGAGATGCGAGACTATTTTGAATTGGCTACACTTAGCAAAGAAAAGGTTTCTTTATTTGAAACAGGTATGCAAGATAATCTGCAATGGTGAACATCCTTTTATAGCTTTACATATACTATTTCCTTTATCGGTATGGTATTTAGCACTTTCTAGCATTTTGTAAATATTACAATTTAATTATTTTAGGCAATGAGAATGATGCAAGCGATTTTACTGATCTTCCTGAAAAAAATGGTCATAAAATTTTGGCGCCATCTGAAAGTGGTATTTGTTCTTGTGGTGCAGAGTGGGATAAACGTTCTATTCAAGATGAATGGTTGTACGTAGACGTGTGTTCAGTTGCGTACTTTTATTCAATCCATGATGTGATGGGTAAGTTCTGATTTGTTATAGGTTACGCTTTGCTTCATAATTATTTGACTTAAATAAATTATTTAGTGTATTGTAGACCTTGCTCCTCTTGTGCTACGAAAAAGCATTATGATGGCATTGAAAACAGGATTGTATGGTTTGGATCATATGCAATATCTCATGCCGTTCTAAAAGATTACATTCGGCTTTTCATAACGTCGAGGTACTTTTTAATGAAAATTTGCCGAAGCATTAGTAGCTACGTTTGTCCATTATTTAATTTTCTCGCCCTATCTCTTTTGAATGTTTTTTCTTTTCTATTCTTGTTCAGTTTACCTATGTACAAATATTATGTTGCGTATGTACAAAGGCAAGTGTCTTCGGGTAATTTTATTTTCCCAAAGGAAATAACTTACGCCAAGTTTCGTCTCGCTATCATTGCCATGATACGGTAAGCATCATTTCATTTTCAGCTGTAAAATATGAATATTCCATTGAGATAGTGATCGCTTGTTTTATTAAGTTATTGAATTTTCTCTTATTAAGGTTGCTTGATATTGATTTTGACTATGGGTTTTTTTGTGAATTATGTGGAAGAATTCCCCAAAAGGTGGTGATGGATGGAACAACTCTTGGATTACAGAAAACCTTCTTACCAAATAATTTAAGAGAGTCTGATACTGGATTGCTAGATGGAAGATAAGTATTTTTGAAGTTTATCTGTAATATATAGTATATACAAGTCTGCTAATTAGTAAATACGAGTGTTCATCTACGTATCAGAGAGCATTTTATGCATGATGGTGACTTCTCTCACTTTGTTTTTGTACACAGCTTATAGTTAAAAAAATTATAAGTATATGTATATGTAAGCCTGTGTATTATAGTCTGAGGATTATGATACAGTTTAAGTTTCCATGAAATTGGAGATCTTTACAAATTGTAACAATTTAGTAATTTATCAATATTCTATTACTCTATTGACAGTGGTGAAGGAGATGAAAAATTACATCCTGTTATTATTCATCAAGCTATTCTAGGTTCAGTTGAAAAAATGATTGTTATTCTTGCTAAAAGCTTTGGTGGAAAATGGTGAGTGTTTTCTTGGCTCATGCCAGAGCTTAAAGCAAATGAAATGTCCTTAAAATGTTAAATTAAAATGGTACAAAGTTTCGTAATTGTTAGGAAATTTTTTATCATTTTTACGTTACTTTATTTTAAAATTTTGACGCACTGCATTTTCTGTTATTTTCTAGGATTTTAATGCTTTCTCGCCGTCAAGTTGTAGTAATTCCTGTCAGTAGTAAATATAATGATTATTCCGAGCAGGTAAATTTAATTTAGTAAGCCTTAGATCAAACTTGCACAAGCTAATGCAAATTCAGCTATGGACAAATTGTTGCTATTTTATGAATTGGATTTTTTTGTCCTTTTTTTTATTGACATTTTGGTCATGTTTAGATTCAAAAGAAGCTCCATGCCGCTGGTTATCGCGTTGATACAGACTTGGATCACGGATCAACACTAAATAAGAAAGTTCGCAATGCACAAATTTCACAGTACAACTTCATTCCTGGTATGAATTAAAGTCTTTTTAAACTATTTTTTATTTACTGTACAAATAAATAGAAATTAAAAAGGTTTGGAACCACTGTTGGTGTTCAGAGTTTACTGACGTTTCCACAACATTAGTCAGGTTCGCCGTATTTGTTCTCTAGACGTCATGACAGAGAGGGAAATATGTGGATGTTTTAGTTTGTGTGGTATACTTATTAATTGTTCGCTTGTAAACCGTTTATAAGGTGCTGATATTTGTATTCTGTTCAATGATTTTTGCTTTGAGTTTGTTAACCTACTTTCTAACGTAAGTCGTTGTCTATAGTCAGTGCTGCTTGTAATGTTGTGCATTGTGATGCTCACTTGTCAGTACTTGTTGTTCTTGGTAGTCAGTTGATGCGCGAGTTGTAAAATGTAAGGTATTATCATTTGCTGTTGTTGGATTGTTTGTTGTTTGTATTTTTGTTTGTTTGTTTTGTGTTCATTGTCTTTTTAAGTGTTGTCTATTTTAAATAGCAAAATAGATGGTCAAATGATTTCATGTTGTTTTTAAACAGTTGTTGGTGAAAAAGAGACGGTCTCAGACACAGTCAACGTCAGAACACGTGACAACAAAGTACTCGTTGAAAAGTCGGTTATGGCCATGATCGAACGCTTGCGAGATTTAGTCAGCTCACGAAGTCTGACAATCGAAGATTTTTGAAATAAAACAACATTTTTATGGTAAAGATAAAATGAATTTACTCACAAAAATAAATTTGAATGTAAATCCCATGATGCGTCGCAATTATAGAAAAATAGGTACGCGTACATGCTACTGGTCACTGGCAGACTGGCGGCAGTGGTCACTGGTACTTTATCAGTGGTCACTGGTACTTTATCAGTGGTGGTAATATTGATTTTATCGTGGTGGTAAATTCTTCCATACGTAATTTATGGCGATAACCATCAAAAACTTTTCAACTTTTTACCATCAAGTTTTCACTCAAACGAGATCGCTTCTCTTTCATATTTTGGCTTTTTTCTTGAGCTAGTAGGAGGCTGTGTGCGTTGATACAAATCTGTTGAAAATTGATGAATTATACAATTACCAATCATGTAACTACGCGAAGTTCTTAAATTCATTAATAATGAATATTTTTGAAGATTTGTTGAAAAAAGTAGAGTTGCCATATTGAATAATTCCGACGAGCTCACGATCGGAAATTATCGTCGTGACGTCCTAATTCTTTCTCAAAAACGAGATAGTTTTCCCGCGTCGTTCAGGCCAGAATGGGAACTTCTTCACTATATCTCTGTAAAGAAACGACGATTTTAGTGTTGAAATATATGTTGTTTGTGTCTCTAGTTTTAAATACGGCTAACCTATCTACTACTTGACGTACCAAAAGGTTTCTTTTTTGTCGTCCCTAAAAGCTAGCCGAAAAGCAGAATTCGGAAGCCGACAAAGATAGAGTTATGCTCGACTTCGACAAAGATATTTGTGTTCAACTTCGACCAAGATATTTGTGCTCGACTTCGACAAAGATGGTGTGCGTTTGACAAAGACGAAAGCAAGAGGTGAATAATATATTTTTCTTAACACTTATCAAAAATAAGTTTTAGCTTTGCTATGTTTAAGGCTATTTTGTATTTCGAGAAACGACATTCTTGGGTTAAAATCGAAAGGGAATATTGTTTTGTCCAAGACAAAGAACGTCACAAACTTATGACAGCAGCATTTGCATACTTTTCTAAGATTGACGATGAACTGCTTGCATGAACAATCCCTATGCGCATATTAGCAATCAAACACCACTTGTGCAAACAATAAAACTGTTTTGTTCATTAAAAAGAACAATTGTCAGTTTAAGGATTACACTATACCGGATTCGCTCAACACGACATCTTCATTTGCTTTCAAGGGTTAACTGTTCGGAGTAAAAGCTTATTGAGCTGATGGATTCAGTCTATTTGATTGTGTTTCTGACGTTGAACAATTTCACTGCCTTTTAATACAAAGAATATTCAACCTGCTACGATAGCAATGTAATCCGGTATAGTGTAAACGGAGCCTTAATCATTTTATAGCAAGAATATGTAAATGTTGGCTGAAATGTATAAAATAACGCGACTTCGGGCAAGGATGTATTTGGGAAGCGATGTTAGCGATCAAAAATGGACTGGAGGCATGAGTATATAAAAGACAGATATCTTCACGTAGTAGACTGACTTTGGTGGTGAATTATTCTGGAAATCTAAAAGCTATTGAATTTCATTGTGAAAAGTTGAAAACTATCTTTATATCTGCGTGAGTTCTATCAAGATTTTAAACAACAAATAGTTGCTTTACGTATGATTTTTGTCGACGAACGTCTAGATGCTGGATGCTATAGATTGCAATTATCTGGGAAAATCTTGATAATGAGAATTTCATAGCGACGTATGCACGTGATAAAAAACCAATAAAGAAAAACTTTGCTATGCTGAGGAAGGTAAAGATATTTTACTCCCAGAATTAATATATATTCTTCAAAAAAGTAGTTCATACTACAGCAATGAAAAATATAAAGCGTCGTATTTAACGCAAACCTTGGTTAAACCAGGGTTAGTTGACACATGTGCACTTGTATAATATGTCCAAATGGACATGTTTTGTGGAATTCCCCTTCATTTGGTAAAATATTATCGCAGTGGGCCAAGATCGTCCCTCGTTTCGACAGTCATTTGCTATTCGTACTGGAGCTCTAGAATTTTACTGTTTTTAGTGGTAAATGTGACCAATTCCTCATTCGTTTTCTTGTTATTGTGTGATGCTTAACATATCAAAACAAGGAGTAGCTATATAAATGTAATTTTCCTGCCACACTTACAAACATTTCATATGTCAGCTGCAAGACCCGTAACAGACTGTGACAAATTTTTTGTTTGGTGAAAAAAAATTAACATATCTTGTCGAGTCTCCATTTGTGAATATCATTTGAGAAATGCTTGCAAGAATATCGGCTACCAGATTACAGGAATAAAATGCGGATTTGAAACGAAAGATTAGAATGCACATTGAACTTCAAAAACAAAGGAACTAGGCTTATAATGTGGCTACAATTGACTACATTTCATACATTGGTTCAATGGTTAGGGTATGGATTAGGGTCAGGGTTAGATTATGGTTAGTGTAAGTGTTAAGGTTAGGGTTAGAATTGTTTAAAAGTTTCTTATAAACGTAGAGTTAGTCAAACTCATCAACACTTTGTTATGCCCCTCGTAATATCCGTGACAATGTTAAAGATGTTTTTATTTCTCTTCACAACTTTGTGTCTGCATATTTTCTACATAAACAAACTGCTTTAATATTTATGACAGATATTATAATTCGTAGATCGAGGTAGAAGAACTGCTTGAAAATGAAACTTCCAACATTGAAACAAAATCAAGCATGGCAGAAGAGAAACAACGACGCTAGGTTAAAGATAGCTTGATGAAATTGAACGTAGTTGAAGCACCTAGCATACGCTCGAGAGTTTTGGATAAGCACTTGTCAACCACTGAAAACTCGAATGATTCCAAGCATTTTTACGACATAAAGGCTCCAGCGAGGTAGGCTGTTGCGGCATATCGAAACATCGATAAATATTGGTGGTTTTTTTAATTATCGGTTTAGCAATATTGGTTTTTTCGGTATATCGATATATCGATATATCGATGTACCGAAAATATCGAAAAAATATGAAAATATTCGTTGTTTTCAACAACAAAAAGAACTTTTACAAAAATAGGAATTCCCCTTGAAAATGAATTTTATCATATTTCAAAATTTTCATCAAAATAAAAAATTTATCATTTTGAACAGATTTTCCACAACAATAAAAACTTTTACAAAAATAGGAATTCCACCCCCTGAAAATGAATTTTATCATATTTCAAACTTTTCATAAAAAGACTATAATTTATGCATTTGAACAGATTTTCCGCAACAAAAAGATCTGTTATAAAAATAGGAATTCCACCCCCCCTAAAAATGAATATAATCATATTTCAAAATTTTTATCAAAAAACTACAATTTATGCATTTGAACAGGTTTTCCAAAAAGAACTTTTACAAAAATTAGAATTCCACTCCCCCTGAAAATGAATTTTATCATACTTCAAAATTTTTTTATATTTTCACCATCATGAGTTGAACATTTGAGTTACCTTGCATGAGTCGTTTTTACTTAAAATATGTTCTTTAACAATTTTGGTTCATCATTGTTTTTGTTTTCTTGTAATTGATTTTATTTAGTATTTGGTAATATTGCAACTAAAATATTAACTCGTTTCAGTCTCCGCTTGCTGAAATCAAGATGGCTTCTAACCTTGAACATTTCAAACATTACAACTCAATGGTTGCAACCAATGAACTATTTAATGAAGTTACGTTTGTTTCATTGTGTGCAATTCCTCTTTATGGATATCAAAGGTATAGACTGTTATTCAAGAATGAAATAAAATATAGAATGTTTTCATTTGTTGATTTGTCATACAGATTGGTTTGTTTACCTCCCAAAAAAGGGAGGCAATTTGTTTACAGCGAACATAAATGCAGCCTTTACAATGTTTTTTAGTTGTCTTGTCACAAATATCGAAAATGTTTAATGATTGATAATATTTTTAATTGTTTAACTAAATGAGTTAGTTTTATACTTTATTAGAAACTGATGGAAACTTTGAACATGTTTGGTCAAAAACGACAGATAAATCCTGGGGATGGGGGATAAAGCTTTCTATGTTTATAGATGTATACCATTGTGAATTTATAATTTCATTGCTATCACAATTTATAGATTAATGTAAAAATTTTTGATGCTATGAGACGGTCTCATCAATGTGCAACAATTGAACTGGATTTCCAATTTCCTGAGAGATTCAACCTCACTTACGCTAGGTTAGTTTTGCCAGTAAGCTTTTTGTTGAATAACCTCACTACGGTCTTGATACTTAATTCATTTAACCAACAGTGGCATGATTATTTGTTTCTATAGAAACCTATTATTATATATTTATATGCTTATATATACTATATACTTATATGCAGCCTGCTACATTGCTGAACACTGAAAGTCCCACCTGCATTCAAACTCGCCCACAAACAAACCCACCCGCATATAAGTATATGTATATGTAAGCCTGTGTATTATAGTCAGAGGATTATGGTACAGTTTAAGTTTCCATGAAATTGTAGATCTTTACAAATTGTAACAATTTAGTAATTTATCAATATTCTATTACTCTATTGACAGTGGTGAAGGAGATGAAAAATTACATCCTGTTATTATTCATCAAGCTATTCTAGGTTCAGTTGAAAAAAAATGATTGCTATTCTTGCTGAAAGCTTTGGTGGAAAATGGTGAGTGTTTTCTTGGCTCATGCCAGAGCTTAAAGCAAATGAAATGTCCTTAAAATGTTAAATTAAAATGGTACAAAGTTTCATAATTGTTTGGAAATTTTTTATCATTTTTACGTTACTTTATTTTAAAATTTTGACGCACTGTATTTTCTGTTATTTTCTAGGATTTTGTGGCTTTCTCCCCAACAAGTTGTAGTAATTCCTGTCAGTAGTAAATATAATGATTATTCCGAGCAGGTAAATTTAATTTAGTAAGCCTTAGATCAAACTTGCACAAGCTAATGCAAATTCAGCTATGGACAAATTGTTGCTATTTTATGAATTGGATTTTTTTGTCCTTTTTTTTATTGACATTTTGGTCATGTTTAGATTCAAAAGAAGCTCCATGCCGCTGGTTATCGCGTTGATACAGACTTGGATCACGGATCAACACTAAATAAGAAAGTTCGCAATGCACAACTTTCACAGTAAAACTACATTCCTGGTATGAATTAAAGTCTTTTTAAACTATTTTTTATTTACTGTACAAATAAATAGAAATTAAAAAGGTTTGGAACCACTGTTGGTGTTCAGAGTTTACTGACGTTTCCACAACATTAGTCAGGTTCGCTGTATTTGTTCTCTAGACGTCATGACAGAAAGGGGAAATATGTGGATGTTTTAGTTTGTGTGGTATACTTATTAATTGTTCGCTTGTAAGCCGTTTATAAGGTGCTGATATTTGTATTCTGTTCAAT